TGATGATGTTAGAGGCTTTCCTGGTCTCCCCCACATCAAAACCAGACCAGTTTTTAATCATCATAAATGTATTTAGATACATTTTCAATCTTGAGAGTTTAACTGGAAGGTTCAGAAGAAGGAACAAGGATACACAGTCTATATATAATCATCCTGTGCTCGTCTAACTGAGCATTATGAGAATCCAAACTCTCCTTGGTCTTTATAAATAGCAGCCCCGTTGACAAAATTCCGTCAATGACGTAGTGCACGCGCGTAGTTGAGTAGGTGATGCTTTTTAGTGAATGAGTCCCCCTCCCTCTCCAGCTTACTAGTACTATCAGATCTCTATAAAAAGCCCACGGTAGATGGAAAAGCGCTTGAGAGCTGCTTGTTTCAACCAGGAAAAAGAAGACTGTCTACACTGACGAGTGTAGACAGTGGCCCATATGGAGACACTCGGGCGAGAAAAACTTCTCATTACGCAGTAGCTACACCGAGCCATCCTACTGGAGCGCAAACATCTAATAGACGAGGTACTAGAAAACGGACAGCCGTCAGAAAATCGACTGCATTTGACGAGGACTCCTATATTTCAAGGTAAGAGGGATTTGACACTGTTTGGTTGAAAATGGCACGGTGACAGCCCGTTTGTTCATTTAGAAATGACCCGAAGCTTGCCAGATACCCAAGTCCTAGAAGTTTTTTATTTCCCAGATAATCATTTTTATGCGTGTTTATTAAAAGATGTACGGCATATTGCAGACGACCTGAAACTTGCTGCAGTGTGACTCACTTTTTTCGCACGTGGGCAGCATGAAGACCCTTTAAAGAGAACAGTCTGTTGGACAATGCAGTTGATGCTGAAAAAGCTTGCTTTCACGAGTTAAACTAAGGAATATGATTTAAAAAAAAAAAGAGTATGAATTTGTGAAGCTACGATTTGTATTATTATTCATTATACAGCTGCCTCATTGTGCATCAACTTTTCGGGAATGACAGACATATGTTAATTTTTTGGGAACGTGTAGCCTATGTATTTATATATCGCGAAATAAGTCGATTACTGAATATCGTTCTACGTGAAGCATCTAATGTATAAAACCATCCCAATCTTCGCTGTAAACTCTCTCGTGAATGTGTGACACTGAGAGATTTCCGAGAGACGACTGTCGTCGTTGTTGCCAGGTCCGGACAGAAAAAAACATTTCAATATTAATTGAACTTTTAAAGTATTCCGTATAATAGGATCGAAATAAAAGAGTAGTTTTGTAGGAAAGGAACGATTTCTTCTTCCGTTCATCTGAAGATGTATTCTAAGCCTAAAAACAGCACATTTCTAAGTGGAAAACTGCTAGACATGGCAACACTCCGGCTCTCCTTTGTTTCCTGTTGATGTTCTTGTACCTCCACTAACCATCGTTTTATTTTTGCCGTTATATTCAACGAAGTGTTTTCTTGTTTTACCTCCCTCGTTCCTCCCCTCTTGAGTGTAGGCTATGTATGTATTCACCTTTTTTTCTACACAGATTCTGTGACGTGTATTCAGGCGTTGAAGTCAGGTCTGCGTCACTCTTGCGCACTTTGCAGATGATTCGTAGTCACCTACTGTAACCCTTTAAAGAGACAGCGCGCTCAGCTACAAACACACACAAGCGACTGCAGCACAATCCTTTTATTTTTCGCGGGGGTGTTAAAGAAGGGAGTGGGCGTCCGTTTTCATTCATTGATGATACCGTTATTCATTCTCCTTAAATTAATGAATGTACAACTGAATTAGCATAGCCAACGATACTAAAAACCAACATTTTAAGCTGAAATAAGTACAGCTAATTATCTTCATTCTTAAAGGAATAGTGCAACTACAAATTTAAATCCTGTCATTATTTACTCACCCTCATTTTTATTTAATTTTTTTAAACATGTGGAACTCAAAAGCAGATGTTTGGAGCAGAATAACACTTTAATTGTGTCTATGAGGGTGTCAGTTCATTATATTCTGCCTAACTTCTTTTCATTTTAGGGTGAACTATTTCTTTAAGTCACCATCTTGAAGCTTATTTGAGTAGGCTTTACAAGAAAATATCATTTCAGTTTTTCTACTTCAAAATTCCACATTCAATTCAATGTGCTATTTGCCATTTCTTTGTAATTATTTGTGAAATTTCTGAGTGAGAATTGTTTATACACCACATTTTCTTTTAAAGTAATAGTGCATTATGAAGCAAATTTTGAAAAAGATATTTGATAATAGCTTAATCAGTCATATATTTAACCAAAATGCTGTGAAATATATAGGATTACTATATTAAAAAGTTCATTCATTAGAATAAAGCAGAGTAAAGCTGTGTTTTCAGCACCATGGACAGCGGTTATTACTCTCAAGTCTACATCCTCCTTTCAGAACCAAATGCATTTAAGCAGTCTAACACTGGGCTGCCAGTAAGAGTCACTAAGTATCAGGTAATTTATGGAGAATAAAACATAATCGAAAAAACTTTCAGGAAATGGAACGACTTTCAAGGGGTTCAAGCCTGCATCTACGTCACTGACCCGGCAGCGAGGCTCACAGGAATCAATGTTCCTGAGAACATTCTGCTTGGGCAAACCAATGCCCTTTTTAATGAAATAACCCGTTATGCATCAGATTCATGGCCATATTCAATACGTATCATATAAAAGCAATATCTAACTCATCTAGATACGTTTGTTTGAGTTCTGCTGTGTTTTCTGTAACACTTCTCTTTAATTGCAGTAGCTGTTCTGTCTCTCCATGTGAGCTGAATTCTTCTTGGTGTTGCCCAGCATGAGTCTTTACCAGTATGCCAGCACTTCATGACCTTGGCTCTAGACTGCTTACTGCTTATGGAGTCCAACAGTACAGTAACAGTCTACAGTCATGGCTACTGAAGTCTGGCTCCAGCATCACTAATACAGAAGTGTATCATCTGTATAACTTAGGTTGTGATTGAAAAGGGAAGGCTGTTAAAATGCGCATGCACGCATTCATCAGAAATACTCGCCTGTGACGGCAAACAGTTGTGTATATCTGAGCCTGTATTGGGGGAGTCCTGTGCTATGGAGGCATGGCATTTTATCGAAACAAGCCAATAGGATCGCACTATTTCCAGTTACCATGCCAACACCCCCTCATCCCTACCTCTGCTGTCTCCATGGTGACCGTGGCTTTAGATTGTTACTGTAGCGTTGGCACGTGGTAACAGTCTACAGCCATGGTCGCCAAGGGGCAGGTGTTATATCGTCAACTGGAAGCATCAGAAATGATTGCGTGAAACCAGAATGCATGTGAAATTGTAACGCAGTGAGGATTTTCTAAGAAGCACTTACAGTAGGATTTGATTTGAGAAAGTAGGTCAAAGTCTGAATTGATTTATTTATATATTTCCCTTCTTCTGAAACTCTATTAAAAAACTCTTTCTGCCGATGTGAAAGTAAGCATGTTTTTCTCAGACTGAAGCATCAAAGCTACGTTGTGATTCTTGATTTGAGACCGAAAACTTTATTCTTTGCACAACATACATTAAAAACTTCAATAGATTGTAATTAAATCATGTACTGTACCAGAATATACAATTATTACTCTCTAATGTTTTCCTGATGGTTCAGTTTGTTCCCTGATGGCCAAGTGATTCATTCTAATGTGGAGTGCCAATGACTGCTCCTTTTTTCCAGACAATTTCCTGTGGAACAGGGAGAAGTTTCAATTAGGATAGAGTGACAGAATATGTTTAATGTGTAACTGATGAAAGCTGTATATTTGATTTTTTACCAATGACATTGCGGAGACATCTGGGACAGCAGGGCAGGTGTTTCAGTCAATTCAGTGAGTAATTAATACATATTAGCAGAGATGTGTTGTTTAAACGTGTTTTGATCTGCAGCAATTTAAAGTGGTGTGCACTAGGATATGGCCCAAATTAAAAAGGAAAATTCATATTCACGTTTAGCAGTCACATATCGCCCTCTGGAGGAGAGAGTTTGTAGTTGCGGAAAACAATCTGTAGGCCAGTGTTGTGTGGTACCATTGATGTAATAAAAAAATAATTATATTTAGAAATGTTTATATGAAAATGTGCGTAAATAAAATCTCAACATCCAATAACAATGTCCCCTGTTTTGGTTTTAATATTTTAAATGATGCTAGTTTTTAATAATTAAATATTTTATCTACATTTTAAGCATTTTTTGGATCATGGATCCAAGTTTAAAAAAAAAGATTAATGAATCTAAACCATGAAGATTTTTTATCATTTAGCAGACAACAATAAATAAAGGCAATTCCTACACATACATTTTGTTTTAAAAATATTTTCTCTATTGTTTTCTAGCTGCTGTAGACATACTCTTGGAACTTACTGAATATTGGTGTCTTTTTTGTATGATAACATTGTCACATTCCTTAATATTTTATAGCAGTTTTTTTAATTAATTAAATATTTTTTTATATTTTTTGCCCAGAGTTATTTACATTTTAAGCAGCTTTGGATCATGGATCCAAGTTTAAAAAATGCATCTAAACCATGTTGATCATTACATATTTTATCATTTAGCAGACAACAATAAATAAAGTCACTTCCTATACATACATTTGATTTAAAAATAATGAATTTTTTTTCTAGCTTCTGAAACTGCCTTTTGTATGATAAAGCTTCTGCCTTTTGTAGGATAAAGCTGTGATGATCCTAAATATTTAAAATTATGGCATTTTATTTTTTTTACGAATTAATTAAATAATTTTTAAATATTTTTGCCCAGGGTTATCTAAATTGTTAAGCATTTTTGGATCCAAGCATTATGGGTCTCCATTTGAATTTTAAATGTAATTTAAATGTAATTATTATTTTTTTTTAAATAAAATGAATGCAACTAGTCTAAACCATGTTGAACATTACATTTCATCATTTAGCACACAACAGTAAATAATGGCACTTCCTTGATTTAAAAAAGTTATCTATTCTTCTATGTTTTAACGTCTATACTATTAAGTTTACTCTCATATTTTTGCCCAGGGTTATCTAAATTGTTAAGCATTTTTGGATCCAAGCATTATGGGTCTCCATTTGAATTTTAAATGTAATTTAAATGTAATTATTATTTTTTTTAAATAAAATGAATGCAACTAGTCTAAACCATGTTGAACATTACATTTCATAATTTAGCACACAACAGTAAATAATGGCACTTCCTTGATTTAAAAAAGTTATCTATTCTTCTATGTTTTAACGTCTATACTATTAAGTTTACTCTTGAATCTTTCTGAAAATTGTTGCCTCATGTATGCTAAACTTGTGACATTCCTTATTTGTTGCTGAATGATTAAAAGTAAATGTTGATCTTCCAAAACAAAGTGAATACTTTGAAGAAAAAAAAAGCGATGAGAGGTCGATAGAGACTCTTTTCCCTACAAGTAAGAGACCATGTGCTGATACTTGAACCTCAGCACATAAACTCTTACTGTTCAGGGCTAAGGGCATCGTGCAGGGACGGACACACACACACACACACACACACACACACACACACACTGATTCACAGCCACTCTGAGAATTATTAATTACACATTCAGCCTCTAAAAGAAGATAAACTTGGCAGTGTCAGACCTTGAAACAGAAAAGCAGAAAAAATTATGTGACACAATCAGCAACATGTTTTTCCCTTATAAAAGTTTAAATTCTGTATTTTTAAAAATCTGATTTTAAGTTTTTTTTTAGATCAATAAATTCTATCCATTTTAAAAGGACAAAGACAAATTGACAAGGTGTGACACAATCAGCAACATGTTTTTCCCTTATAAAAGTTTAAATTCTGTATTTTTAAAAATCTGATTTTAAGTTTTTTTTTTAGATCAATAAATTCTATCCATTTTAAAAGGACAAAGACAAATTGACAAGATACATTAAAAGCAGTGATTAGAAATGTAAACTATAGTCTGTGATTTATCAGTTCCAATTCTACCTGACCCAAACGTGCCCCTGTAACAAATAGACGCACAAGAAGGAACAGCCAAACCACAAGAATTTGAAGGTTTTTGTCCAGAACAAACATATCCTCTTCACCAAAACCTTACCAATGATAACACAGAGAGTTCCTGCAGCTCAGAAAGAAAGAAAGATAGAAAGAAAGAAGACATGAGTTTGGGAAGTTGAGAAGTCAGGAAATTAACTTTGGCTTATGATACGCACTGTCCACATAAACAGGAAAACCATGAAGTGGCAGGACCGTGTGTTTGGATCAGGCTGGAAATAAATAATAAGTAACTCAAACCACACTCGGCTGGATGAATTCCTGAATTCCTGGTTATAAAACACAGCCTGGCCCTCTAAAAGAAAAAAAGCCAACATAGTAACAAAACAATCCCTCATCATCTCCTCACTTCAGAACATTAAACAGTTTTCAATGGAAAAATTCTTCGTTCGTCATCCTGTCTTACTTTTGTTTGTAAATATGGACCATGTGCTTTATTACACTGACATCATAGTTATTCTTTAGGTTAAATAACCTCCTTGGGAAACTCCCTCCACCTGCTTTGTCACTGCTGAGATCTGATTGGTTAGTTCGGCCACACCAGCAAAAACGGTGTCTTCGCAGTAACCTTTTCACCACAACAAAATTTCCTGGAATTAACCTTCATCTGCTCTTCTGGGAAACCTCATAAGTACCTTTCAGTCTTCTTCAAATATTAAAGGTTTTTGATCCACTCTAAAGCAACATTTCAGTCAGATTCATCGTATTATAATGGCTTAAGCTAGCCTGTGAATAAATGCATATACATAAGCATTTACAAATACACACACACACACATATATATATATATATATATATATATATATATATATATATATAACACACACACAC